GTTGCTACCATCGCTACTACAACTACTACAACTACAGCTACTAGTAAAAATACTGACTAAAATTCACAGGTGTCAGATTAGCACGAAAAATGGAAATCACTCTCAACAGATAAAACTGATTGTAAAAAGTTTGTATCTCTACTAGTAGCAGTAGAAGTATTTGTAGTGGCTGCAGTAGCCGCAGCAGCAACAACAACGGCAGCTGTAGTAGAAAGAGTAGTAATAGTAGCATTAGTAGTTGTAGAAGCGGCAACATTGTATCAGTGGCTGTAGTAGCAGCTGCAAGAGCAGTAGTAGTAGCAGTAGTAGTAGTAGTGGTGGTGGTGATGGTGGTAGTAGTGGTAGTAATACTCTGGAGACTATATCCATGGTGGTTGTGTTAAATTATGCAAATAAGTCGTTATTTGAGATTATCAAATGTGTTGATGATGTTGCAAATATTGCTTGTGTTGTTGTTGTTGTTGCTACTTCTAATACTGTTGTTGTTGTTGTTGCTACTACTACTACTGCTGTTGCTGTTGTTGCTGATGATGATGATGGCGATGTTGTTATTGTTGATTTTGATGTAGTTGTTGTTTTCCGTTAAATTTTTCAATTTTATTCAAAAAAAAAATTTGTCGTTGTCATCACCATCGTCATCATCATCGTCATCATTATTATAATCATCGTCCTCTTCACCATCATCATTCTCACATTCATCATCATCTTCATCATCCTCACAATCATCATCATAATCATCATCCTCATCACCATCATCATCATCGCCATCACCAGCAATCAAAGTGACGGGAGATGAATACCTGGAAAGTGGAAACACCATCAAGTTGATGTGCAACGTCAGTGGCAAGCCCGAACCGCCCCATAATCTTGAATGGTACAAAGGTCATAGACCCTAGCACATTATCATTCTTCTTCTTCTTCCTCTTCTTCTTCTTCTTCTTCTTTTTCTTCTCCTCCTTCTTTATCTTCTTCTTTTTTTCATCATCTTCTTCTTCTTCTTTTCCTTTTTCTTCTTCTTCTTCTTCTCCCTCTCATTATTATTATTATTATTTTACCCCTTTCACCCCCCTATATATCGAACAAAACAGAGGGCAGACACCTGGCTCCGGACGCCAGGAACGGTCTTATTATAACGAAGAAGATCGAAACGAGAGTCCTCATCAGCGTCCTCACTATTACGAACTCCGATGTAAACGACTCTGGAGAATACACCTGTCAGGTAAATAATAATAATAATAATTATTATTATTATTATTTATCCTTATTATTATTCGTCATTGTGGTCGCTACTCACATTTCCATTAATTTTCAAAGATGATAATTTATTGACCATATTGAACGTGGCTGGCTGAAATAGCAGACGTATGAATGAATGAATGAATGAATGAATGAATGAATGAATGAATGAATGAATGGATGAATGAACGAATGAATGAATTGGTGAATGAATAATTGATGGAATGAACGTATGAATGAGTGAACGGATGGTGGTGAGATGAACGCACAAACAAACAAACGAACAAACTGCTGAATCGGAAATAAATACAATTCTATAATTAATAATTATGACCATAATAGCCTTTTCAAAGTATCGGCATATTTTTTTATTATTTTATAAGAATTTTTTAAAAACCCTCAGTCCTCAAGCGATGAAAGCAGCAGCATAAAAGTCATCGTAATAGCAAGTGAGACCAACCAATTAATTAACGAATTAATTAATTAATTAATTAATTGATATTATTTATTACGTCATAATAAACAATTATAATTATATTTAATTATATTTTTTCAATTTTCTAGTGCCAGTTACGTCGAAAGAAAGTTTGAAATGGAGTTTTTTTTTCTTTTTTAAAATTCTGTGAAATTGATTCAGTGGTTGATTGAATGATTGCTCGATTGAATGATTGATCGATTGATGGGTTCATTCATTCATTCGGTGATTTATTAATTCATTCATTTATCCATTCATTCATCCATCCATTCATCCATTCATTTTCTCACCTCTACCACCAAACCATCAATGCAGCCCCGGTGAATGACAGAATGCATTCGGGATTTTTCTTCGGATCGTCATCGTCGTCGTCGTCATCACCATCACTCCACTATCATCATCTGCAGCAGCAGAAATTTTCCGGAAGATTACTACTAATAATACTGCAACAGTTACTAACTATCTTTGGTGTCATACTTGTTGCGACTACTACTACTACTACCACCGATGCCACTACTACTACTACAACTACGGCTACTACTAAAACTAATGCTACTACTATTACAACAACTACTACTACTACTACTACTACTGCTACTACTACCAATAATAATAATAATAAAATGGATGACACAAATACTATTGCTACTAATAAAAATAGTCCGAACGACAAAAAAATAATTAGTGATAGTAGTAGTTGTAGTAATAGTAATGATGAGGGTGATGATGATGACGATGGTGATTATGATAATGATGAAGAAGAAAGTTCAAAGAGAGAGATTTCAAAATCGGTGATGACAGTGATGATGATGATTTCCAGGTGAAAGTGATAGAGCAAATAGAGGACAACGATTATTATTATGATGAACCATAATTATTTTCATTATTATAACAATTATAATAGCAATTATTTTTATTATTATAACAAATAAAATAATAATTATTTTTATTATTATAACAATTATAATAATTACTTTTATTATTATAACAATTATAATCATAATTATTTACTATTATAACAATCGTAATCATAATTTTTTTTATTATTATAACAATCATAATCATAATTATTTTCATTATTACAACAATTATAATCGTAATTATTTTCATTATTATAACAATTATTATAACTGACGCCACTAAATTATTTTCACCAAGTAGCTACAAAGGTAACCAAAAAACAAGCAACGAATAGGCCAAAAAACTTCATCATACTCATCTTTAACATTTATTTTGAGATTTACGAAGAAATACTCACACATACAAACACACATACACATAGACACACACACACAAACACACACACACATACACACAAATATATATATATATATATATCATCTCAAACAATCATTTAATACAACACACTGAATGTACTTTTTATTATTTCTAGTAATATCGCTACTGTAATATTGAGATATAAACATTAGTATTACACACACACACACACACACATAAACACACATCCAAACACAGAGAGAAGAGAGACACACACACATACATTTATTATACATTTATACACCATATTGTATATACATAAATCATATATCTTTTATTTTATTAAAAAAGAGATTTTTATTGATTTTTTTTCTATCAAAAAAACCGACTAATGATCATTTTATTAATTAGATATGAAATTGAACTGAACAATGAATAATTAAATATGGAGGAAAAACAATTTTACTTACTGTATCTGTAACAGGTTAAAAGAAATGCCACAACTACAAGAACCACCACAACTACAAGAACAACCACTACTACAAGAACAACCACTACTACTATACTACTGCCATCGCTACTACTACTACAGCTACTACTACTACTACAGCTACTAAACTACTACTACTGCTACTACTACTACTATGAATAAATCAATCGATCAATCAATCAATCAATCTATTAGTTTATAAAGTGCTATTTCCGCGATGTTCAACAGCGCTTCTCAATGAATTTTGCAAACAGATGGGTCTTGAGATCCGCTCTGAACTTCGTAAGTGATGGAGAAGTAGTCAGAGAAGGAGGTAGAGAGTTCCAGAGAAAAAGCAAATGCAGATTTAGCAAAGGAGTGTTTAACATGAGTTAAGAAGTGTGAACAAGAAGTCAATCGTAAACCGTCGATCTATTACTACTACTACTCTACTACTACTACTACTGCTGATGCTTCTACTACTGCTGCTGCTACTACTACTACAATAATAATAATAATATTTATTATTTTATAATAATAAATATTTATTATTATTATTAATCGATTGAATCTGGCGATCTCCATCCGCTGTCTGGTGAGGCTGTCAATTAAAGAAAATTAATTTTATTAATTATTAATATTGTTATAATAATAATTATTATTATTATTATAATAATTATTATTATTATTTTTATTATTATTATTATTAACCATCAGATGTTGGAGTTTCGTTGCTGTCTTTATCCTTACGGGCCTTCTTCTCTGCAAGAATTTTATGAAAAAAAAATAATAAAAAGATAAACACTTCTACTACTACTACTGCTGCTGCTGCTGCTACTACCACTACTACTACTACTACTATAACTACTACTACTACTAACCTACAGCTGCTACTACTACTATTACTACCACTACTACTAATAATAATAAGTATGGCTTACTTTTATCATAATCTGATGAATCTTGAAGATTTGTTAGTTCAAATGAAATTGTAATAATATTAATAACAAAAGTAATAATAATATAATAATAAAAAATAGAAATATAATGATACTATTATAATAACATAATAATAATAATTTATTTTAATATCAAAAATAATTATTATTATTATTATTATTAACCGCTAGAAGGACTTTGGTCACTGTCTTTACTAGGTGTCACTTTTTTGTATTTCTTCTTTTCTATCATTATTATTATTATTATTTATAATTATATATATATTATTATTATAAATGAATAAATAGCAATAATACGTTCCCAACTTACTGTAAAGGCACAGGCAAATGCATAAAAGGATTATGATGAAGAGGATTATTAGTACGAGTAGTATGACGACAACGATGAGTATGAACCATCCGTACACTGGGGAGATTATGGATCAAATTCATTCATTCAGTCATTCATTGTTTTACACTCATTCATTCACTTATCCATTTCTCACTCACTCACTCACTCACTCACTCACTCACTCACTCACTCACTTATTCATTTCTCATTCACACACTCACTCACTCACTTATTCATTTCTCATTCACACACTCACTCACTCACCCACAATTTTTTTAACTTCGACTGTTTCGTCAACATCTTCAGAAGTGGTTACATTCCCGAAATCATCTTCCGTGAAGTTATTCTTAACCGTGCACGCCACGTAGTAAACTCCAATAGCGTGTATAGAAATTTGGTTGGGCTTTAGTATCGAAAAGGTTTCGTTAACTTTTTCCTCACTCTCCAACACGTCAACCGCCCAACTTATAAGGTAGGGTTCAGGGCTGGCTTTGTACAGGCAGGTTATCGTCTCGTTAACTTCAACCGATACTTTGTCGATCCGCGTGTTGTGCACTTTGACTTTTTCGTTTTTTGGGGGTAAGGTTAAAGGTTAATAATAAATGTAAGAACCAGAAATAAAATAACTGAAACTAATAAACACGCCTATAAGAAGAAGAAGCATGAGTTTATAGTTCGGAAACAGCTGAAGAAGAATTTAAAAAATGGAAAAAGTGCAAATAATAATAAGAATAATAAAGAAATAATAAACCGTGATAGGGGAACTTGTAGGTGAGTTCGATATACTCAAACTGGCGACCATCTTTGAATTTTAGTGTGAGACCGTAGCGAAGTTCCGGGGGTGGTTTCATGAAATCGCACGGAACTTCAAAATCTGCAATCTTTGTATTATTGTTTGTTTGTATGCTTGTTTGTATGTATACTTGTATGTATGTATGTTTGGTTGTATGTGTGTGCGTATGTATATTTGTACAACAAAAACAGCAACAACAACGACAGCAACATCAACAACAGCAGCAGCAACAACAACAATAACTACAAAAACAACAACAACAAATTCACTTACATACGTCTTATAGAGTATTTTGCTGTTTTTAGTGATGTAGTTTTTCTGGCTGACTTTAGCGCTGGGGAGCTCTAAATCGGCCAAGACGTCAAAATTCGACTCATTTTTAAAGTTGAAATAGTCAAAAGATAGTCGAAAATTCCAAAAACGCCCGTACACGTCTGCCGTTTTAATCATTTTCCGGTTTTCTGTAATTTCACAAAGTATTTTCAATTTATTTTTCTTCGCTTTTGTAGGAGAAACGCTACAAATGGTAATTGGAATGATTTTTTTGCGTCACTCGACCTTGCAATAAATGATTTAAACTCCTGACAAAATTACTTAGAGATGGCAGTCATAAGTTAGCAATTAACACAAATAAACGCATATTACAATGGAGTAGCTAGTATAAGTTAAAATAAAAAGCGAGGGAAAGAGAGTGAGAAAGAGGAGAGAGGGAAAGAGAGAGAGAGAAAGAGAGAGAGAAAGAGAGAGAGAGAGAAAAAGTGGTGAATTTCGCAATACTCACTCCAGACCAGGACGTAGATCCTCTCAACACTTGATAAATTCAGCACCGATTGGCACTCCAGTTCGAGGGATTCATTGCTAGAGAAGTCTGATTCGATGACCAGTCTGCCATCTATCGTGCAGTTTCTTTTGATAAAATCGTCCGGATTGCATGCAGTTTTCCAACATTGCTCTATCATAGGTTGGCTGTAGACTGTGTATATATATGTGTGTGTGTGTGTGCGTGTTTGTGTGTGCGTGTGTATGTGTGTAGTGGCTAATGCATTCTCATCATAATTATCTTGTATGTGAGTATGAGTGTGTTTGCGTCAGTATGAATGGGTAGATGTATGAGTATTTCTGGTTGATTGTAGACTGTGTGTGTATCTCTGTCTCTCTCTCTCTCTTTCTATGAATGAAAGTGTGGCGTATGTATGAATGTGTGGTGTGTGTGTGTGTGTGTGTGTGTGTGTGTGTGTGTGTGTGTGTGTGTGTGTGTGGATAGATAGATAGATGAAAGGATGGACGAATGAATGAATGAATATAAATAGTATGAATAGTAATAATAATGTTAATCACCTTTGTCTAAAGAGGCCAGTGATAAAATAGTTAAAATCACAGGTATCATAAAAAAGTTCTTCTCCATATTTAATAGCAACAATTAATTATATTTATAATTAATATATTTATAATAACATTAACTATTAATTATCTTCTTTTTATTATTTATATTTATGATAATTATATTTATAATAACATTAATTATTAGTAATTGACTTCTTTTTATTTTTTTTATATGTATGTATAATAACATTAATTATTATTAATTATCTTTTTTTAATTAATTATATTTATAATAACATTTATTATTATTAATTATCTTTTTATAATTTTTCACCAAAACCAATTAACCATTATATAATATACACTTAATAAATTCATCTTTAACAGTGCCGAAATTAATTCAATGAAATTAAATAAATAAATAATAATAATAAAAATGGTTAATAATAAAAATAATAATAACTATTATTATTATTTATTATTACAACTGATAAAAAGAGGTTTTATTGTATATTATTTTATAAACCCCATGACGTAATTGTAAATTTATATAGCGTTTTATAATATAGATGCAAATACCGTTACTACTATTACTACTGCCACTACTACTACTACTACTAATACTACTACTACTACTGCCACTACTACTACTGCCACTACTACTACTACTACTACTACTACTACTACTACTACTACTACTACTACTACTACTACTACTGCTACTGCTACTACTACTACTGCTACTACTACTACTACTACTACTACTACTACTACTACTACTACTACTATTACTACTACTATTACTATTACTACTGCTACTGCTACTGCTACTACTACTACTACTACTACTACTACTACTTCACATTCAGACAAACAAGTTTCATGAAATCGCTATTGTTCCTTTAACAATAATAATAATTATTATAACTATAATAATGACAGATTATAATAATAATAATGGTTTTCATGTTTCCATCATTCTATTTATTAACTTTCGACCAATCAAATCTACGATATCTGGGTCACAGATGACGTCAGCCAGCAATTGGTAAGTGACCTCCTTACCTACTCTCAAATGTCGACCTAGTTTAGAGCTATGATGCAATCTCGAATTTGAGCCACTGGTCGGTGATGACGTCACCGAGCAGGGAAATGCTGAAGAGGAAGAAGAGGATACCAATGTAGAAGAGGACGACTGCGTCATTCTAGATGATGTAGATGACGTCATTATAGAAAATGATGATGATGATGGTGACGGTGATGATGATGATGGTGATGAAGATGACGATGATGATGATGGAGGCGGAGATGAAGATGAACGTTCAACCTTTCCAGTTTGCATATCTGAATTTTTAGAAGAGGCACGATGAAATAATTTAACGATAAAATTAATAATAAAAAATTATAATTATAAGTATTATTAATATTATTATTTATTACTTTAATAATTATGTTAATAATATACATAAGAACAATAAAAACAAACGGTACTAATAAAAATGTGCACAAATAACACCTTTAAAAAATTTCGCCAATTCCTCAATTGTGATTGGCTGAATTCTCACCACGTGATTCAGTTCAAATTCTCGGCTTACTATTGGTCGGTAGGATGACGTCGATGTGTCGTCATTCTCTGAGCTGTTTTTAGCAATGTTTCGGCTCTTTTCAGAACGGGGCAATCTTTTTATAAAAATTTTCGTGCTATTTGTAGCCGGTCTATTATTTTCATGTTGATGACGACGTAGACGACGACGATGAGGATTATTATTATTATTATTATTATTGTTGTTGTTATCGTTACTACTACCTCTACCCAATCTTCCTCTCTTTGTCAGCGGTTCGTCATCATCAAGGTCGTCATCATCGTCATCAAACTCACAACAACCATCATCACCACCATTACCACCATCAACACCACCATCACCACAACCACCACCATCAACACAACCACCACCATCATCATCATCATCGGGATGACGACGATGATGACGTAAATAATTCTTGGTTGCCATCTTAAGGTAGGACAAGTTTCTCTTATCTGTTGACGGAATCTACGGTGGACAATAATAAAAAATTATTATTATCATTATTATTATTATTATCATTATCATCATCGTAATTATCATCTTCATAAATTAGTCACCTCTGTTGGATTGAGCCACGGCCTTCTATCATTACCATCATCGTCACCATCGTCGTCGTCGTCATCATCATCAAAATGACACTCGTTATTATTGTTGTTATTATTATTATTACTATTATTATTATTGTTGTTGTTGTTGTTGTTGTTGTTATTATTATTATTAAGAAATTTATAGACGGCACATCTGACGATCGACTCTTTCACTCTATCCAAATGATCCGACTGTACACGAAATTAAATTGAATAACTGAACGAATGGATGAATGAATGAATGAATGAATGAATGAATGAATGAATGAATGAATGAATGAATGAATGAATGAATGAATGAATGAATGAATGAATGAATGAATGAATGAATGAATGAATGAATGAATGAATGAATGAATGAATGAATGAATGAATGAATGAAGAACAGAAGGAGAAAATGAACGGACGGACGAGTATCAGCACATGGCAGTTTAATTGTTTGACTGATCAAGGTGACTTACTTTTTTTGCCGCCACCACCTGACCTACAAACAAACAAACAAACACGTGACGGCCTAACACGACAATGACCTACTTACTATAAACAGACAGACCTGACCCAGTTATTATTTTTAGCGACCGACCTGTAATTCAATCCAGGTGTTGACGGTGATGGATGGCTCCAGGCATTGAACATAGTGCCACCAGTGTTTAGGAACGTACAACACGTCTCCAGGATTCAGAATTACCATATATGGAATGGCCGACCTCTGAAGAAAAGTGTGTGTGTGTGTGTGTGCGTATGTGTGTGTGTGTGTGTGTGTGTGTGTGCGTGCGTACGCCTTACTTTAAAATTAGGATACCCGTCGTAAGATCCACACCCGATGTTAATAGTACTGAAATAGCTGGATTCTTCATAAGGTATTCTAGTTGAGTACATGGCATTTACTGCTGTGGCTGCTGTAGCTGTTGTGGTAGCTGCAGCTGCTGCGGTTGGAGGAAAAAGCACCCATAGCTTTCTGGGAAGTGAAGTGCATTTTCGTATCCGAAAAATTGGATATATAATATCCGATTATCATCCTCATTCATCATCATCGTCATAATTATTATTAAAATAATAATTTGAATAATTAGCATAATTACAACCACCCTAACCTGCCACAAATCTGCGCAACCAAGTTACAACCATATGTGTCGTAATGGCAAACAGTGCTGGCCTCCCGAGAGCCAATCCAGAGGGTGCTTTCCAACCCGGCCCGTCCCTCGAAACCAAATTTCGACCAATCAATGCTCTGGTAGGATTATTGAGATGGTGGTTAAGATTATTGAGGCAATTAAAAGTGTCGGCTTGTTTGAAGTGATGATGACGATTGTAATAATGATGATAATGATGATGATAGTTGGAAGGAAGATGATGATGAAGAGAATGATGATGGTGGTAGTAGTGGTGATGATAATTACAAATATTATCACTCACTGCCAGAATTTTTTCTTTCAAATTGGGATCAAATTTATTTCTTTTATTTACACTCTTGTCATCTTTATTGTCTTCATTATCATTATCACCACCACCGTCATCATCGTCATCATCCCCATCACCATCGCCATCATCATCGTAATCATCATCATCATCATCAAACAGTTTGCACATGTGTTTGTAATCAGCATAACACCAATGAGTAGATGGATCTACAGAATTTAATGGGTTGTCATCACCACAATTATCTTTATTATTATTATTATTATTGCTGTTGTTATTTTCAAGCCTATCATTATTCTTTTTCTCATTAATATTTTTATTTTTTGAGATCCAATTTTTGAACTGTCCAGCGGAAGCTTTAATGTGTGGACAGTTGGTTTCCCAGTTAATTTCTGACAAATTTTATTAATTATTAGATAATTTATTTTATCAATTTATTTACTTTATTTTATTTTAATTAATTAATTGATAGTTTATCTGATCATAATTATAATTTATATTAAATTAAATTAATTGAAACAAAAATAAAATTAAATCAGCCATTTTTTTTAATTGAAAATCTGATTTCATACTGTCGATATTTCTGCTGCCAATTCGAAAGTCAAACAGCACATCTTTAAAAATTTCATCAAAATTTTCGAAACTCCATTTCAAAGACGGCCAGTCACTAATCAAGTTTTTAAATACGACCGGTTCACTAATCTGTGTGAGAATAGAATTTTTCAAAATTTTGGCATCGTAGTCAAAATTCATTTTTTATTATTTAAAAAAAGTTCAATTGAAAAATAAACAAAATTTAGATCATTTCTTGGCGAATTATTGACATGATAAGACATTTAAAATTTAAATGCCAAAATTAAATTTAAAAAACCATGAAAAGTGAATTCTAATTATAAATAATCACAACTAAATAAATCGTGATTTACGGTGTTTCTTGGATTTAAATAAGTCAAAATTTAAATAAATAAAAGTTATTTTACAATTTTATTTATTTAAAAAAACGTCATTTTAACGCCGAAAAACGGTCTTTATGATGGTGATTTGTAATGACTTAGATTAACTTTCGCGTGTAAAAGTTACCTTCATTGTTTGTTTGGTGCCTCGTTCGAAATTTGAATTGGATTTAGAATTTTATTTAATTTAATTTAATTAATAAAAAAAATGTCATTCAATGACACGCAAAATATAGAGATTCCAGACGATTCTGCTGATGTTGATGGCGAAGAAGATGAATTCGTGTTTGGCAAAAATCCGGTTTGTTTGCTGTTTGGTTTACATTACTTTACCTGACCATTTTGATTTTTGTGTTTAGGTTTGGCAGGGGTGAGGTGGCAAATTGATTGACAGATTGAATGATTAAGTGAATCATGAAAGAATAAAACACACTAAATTTTAATTTCAATTTTATAACTAATCTTTTTCTTAACAACTACTACTAAAATCTCTAATTAATAAAAAATTTATAATTTTATCTATTCTGCATATATATATCCATTGATTTGGTTCATTTATTTATTCATTCATTCATTTACAGTGTTGTTATTTTAATTATTTAAAATTAAAAAAAATGGAATATAAAAAATTAAAAACTGCTTAAAATTCAATTAATTTTATATAATTTATTATAAGTAAGTAAATCATGATTTAAGTATTTAATTAATTAATTAATTAATCAAATTATAAATTTTTATCTGATTTTTTTATAGGTTGGTCATTTAACGATCTTTACTGATAGCAATGAAGATGTGTGCCACAAAAGATACGACATCTACAAAGGTTTTCTAACTATTTTAATTCTTTTTTTTCAGATTCTAATTTGATTATGAATTTGTTTAATAAAATATTTGTGGGTTATTTGGTCTGTCTATCCATTCATTCATTTATCCACTCATTCATCCATTCATTCATTCACTCATTGATTCACTAATTCATTCCTTAATTCATCCAGTTATTTATTCATTCATATCTTTATATCAACTCAGATAAAATGTACTCATTGATCTGTTTATTATTTTTTCATTAATTAATTAATTAATTCAATCTGTCATTCATTCATTTGTAACCACGTTTATTCATTTGTGAATTCATTAACTAACCAGTTCATTAATTCATTCACTAATTCAATATTTTATCTTTCAATAAATCGATTAATTTTTCAATTATTCTTAAAATTTAATTTATCATTTCAAGGTTTGAATGCAATAGGCAGAGCACATGAGTGTAGCATCAGACTTGAAGTACCAGTTAAGTTTGACTGAAAATATTTTAAGCCACATCATGTTGTTTTTCGTTTTGTTTCTGTGTGTTGCTCTGCTTTGTTTTCAATTTGTTTGACATTTAATGGCTAGATAATCTTTCAAGGATATATTTATTTTAAAAGATAATTTTTAGAAAAGTAGGTTGTATATATTCTCTTTAAAAAAATGGCTATGATATAGTATCTTTTTTTTACAGCTGGTTAACCTCTCTCCCTCTCTCTCTCTCTCTCTCTCTCTCTCTCTCTCTCTCTCTCTCTCTCTCTCTCTCTCTCTCTCTCTCTCTCTCTCTCTCTGTATGTGTATGTACTTATTTATTCCAAATGTTGGGATTGTATTTTTGTATGTATATCTCAGTTGAGGGATGGTTCCATCACAGGTTGTTTAAAAAAACGTCATTATTTAAACACTGTACACCAAAGAAAGCGCTATACAAGTTTTGATACTGATACTGATAAAAATTTCTTTGAAGACTTTATCTAATGAACGTTTCTGTCTCTCTGCCTCTCTCTCTCTCTCTTTTTCTCTCTGCCTGTTTCTCTCGTTTTCTCTCTCTCTAATTATTACAATTATATAATAATATTATTATATTATAATTAATTATTTCTGTGCAGTCCATATCAAGTGAGCATTGTTGTATTGAGTTCGTTCAGAACACGCATCTAATATGGGACCAAAATAGCAGGAATAAGACTAAGAAGAATAAGGTCAATGGGGAAAGCTTTTTATATTTGTGTTTGTTTGTTTGTTGGTTGGTTCTCTGATTGTTTGTTTGTTTGTTTGTTTGTTTGTTTGTTTGTTTGATAGATTGATTGTTTGTTTGTTTGTTTGTTTGTTCGTTCGTTCGTTCGTTCGTTCGTTCGTTAATTATTATTATTAATTAATTAATTATTATTCTTTGTTTCTACCTACTGGTAACAATTTCTCATCCATGCAGTTAACTCTAATTCCGTTAGTGAAGTATCAGCTGCTGGACGGTGACGTCCTGACGTTCGGCGATGTCCGGGCCCAGTATCACTATCATAACCCGGCCTGCGATGGTGGCGGTGATAATGATGATGATGAGGTCAATGTAGATGACGTCATTCATAACGATAGCACTGTTAATGATATCAATAATAATGATGATGGTGGTGGTGGTGGTGCTGATGATGATGTCGAAAATGGTGAAATTGTAGTAGTGGGCGGTAAGAACAATAATGATGATGGAATTGTGACGATGACGATAGCGAACAAGAAGCGATCCCCCTCGAGCGAATCGTTGAAAACATTAGCAGCAGCCGATGCTGCCACGACAACGGCGACGACGATGACATCATCGTCGTCACTATTTCACTCACCCCTCACTATTTCATTCACTCCATCACCGACATCGTCATCATCACCGTCGGCGGCCGCGCTAGTAGTAGTCGCAGCAGTGGTAGCCACAGCAGCAGCTGATATCGTCAATAATTCTAACGTCGGCCTAGCCTTATTGGATAGTAGTAGTAGTAATAAAAGTAATGATGATAACGATAGTGATGGTGATAGTAATGATGATGAAGGTGGTGGTGATGATGATGGTAAGACCCCTTTTGCATCGCCAACACCATCGCCACGAACATCATTATCATCAGCAGCAGAAGCAACGGTGACAATTACGTTATCGTCATCTATGACGTCATCGGCTATAATATCATCAGCTGCCGAAGCAACGACATCAGCCACAAAAGCGACATTTATTTTACCGACGTTACTAATTGAGAAAACTGAGTTAACATCGTCATCACCATCACCGCCAACAACATCGTCATCATCATCAACACCAACAACATCATCATCAAGAGTGCCAACAACTACAACATCATATTCCGAAGACATTAACAACAACAACAACATCAACAACAATAGAATCAATATTTTCGCATTTGATACCCAAGATATATATGACGAAAACAACAACAACAGCAACAACAACAACAAAAGATCATCATCATCACCACCAAACAACAACTCCATCGTCATCACATCTCCAGGCAAGAACAACAACATCAGCAAAATTCTTTTTGCTTTGGACACACAAGATATGTTCAACAACAGCTACAACATCAACAACAACATCAACAACAACAACATCAACAACAACAACAACAACAAATCATTATCATCATTTAACAGAACAACCACATCACAACAACGTCATCAACAAACATCATCGTCATCATCGCAGTCACCGAGGCCTGTGATGCCATTTCCGCTTCCGACATCGTCGTCGTCATCGCTGCCGCTATCGCCCATTCTAAATTTAGTAACGGAAATCCCGGAGACGCCGGAAAAGGAAATAGGACGGGATAGTTATTACGAAAAGGGTGATGGTGACGCCGTTGATGACGTCATTGTTACGAAGTTATATTACAGTGATGGTAAAAATGCTACTACTACTACTACTGCTGCTACTACTACAACTACTACAACTGCTGCTACTACTACTACTACTACTGCTACTACTTCTGCTACTGCTACTACTACTACTACTGCCGCTGCTACTACTACTACTACTACTTTTAGTAATAGTAACAGCAAAATGTCTCCTAGTTATAATAGTAAAGATCTTTCATCTAGCAACAATACCATTGCTTATAATTTTAGTAGCAATAATAATAATAATAATAATAATAATAATAATGACGACGATGATGATAGTCATGATGATGGTGATGATGATGGTGCTGGTTATAATGATGGTGATGATGATGATGGTGATGGTGGTGGTGATAATGATGATGATGTTACTACTACTACTATTACTGTCGCCACTGCTGCCGGCGGAAGAAGTAGTAACCTGTTTAAAAATCTTTTCGCCGACGATGACGACGACGATGTTGATGACGTCATTAATAATAATAATAACAATAATAATAATGATAAGAATAATAATAATAATAATGATGATGATAAGGGCTTTAAGAGTGACAATGACTGCATGTTGAATACTAAACAAAAGCCTTGTTTATCATCACCGCCAGCTTTTGTAAAGTTATCATCATCACCACCGTTAGGTGTGTCGTCGTCATCATCGACATCAACAGCCACAATGGCATCAGCAGCAGCAGTTGTGGTAGTGGCAGCTACCACATCGACCACATCATCATTATCGCCAGCGATATTACCAACGTTAACATCATCAGCTAGAATCTCACAGGCAGTAACTACTACTACAGCTACTGCAGCAGCTGCTGCTGCTGCTGCTCCTACTACTGCCGCTATTCTTATTGATACTTTTACTTGTAGTTACAGTGTCAGTAAAGATAATGTTAATGATGGTAATGATAATATTAATAATAAGAAGAAGAAAGAGAAGGGTGATGAAAGCAACATTAATGATTTCGTGTTTTCAAAAGCATATTCCAGAAGGTCTTCTAGACGAGTTGCTATCAAGTCGTCATCATCATCACCATTCGCGCCGCATTTGACATCATCATCACCACCACTGACTACAACGACATCATCATCGCCACCACCACTGACTACAACGACATCATCATCATCACCACTGACTACAACGACATCATCATTACTGCCTGAAACAACATTGGCAAAACCACCACCATCATCATCATCATCGCCATCACTTCAGAAGCCAGCATCGCCAGTGAAGCGCAACCACAAGTCGTTCAAAAAGCGTAAACTGTACCAGCCAAAAGAATCAACCTATCAACTCGATTGCAGCCAGCCAATAGGAATGCAGGACGCGTCGTCATTGTTACATCAAAAAACTGCTGATACAACTACTAATGATAAAGCGACAACAACAGCAACAACGACAGCAACAACAACATCATTGTTGTCACCATCAGAAACATCCTCTTCTGCATCAACTGGAGTTGATCAGAGCTCAAAATCATCCTCTGCTTCTGTAGCCTACAAACGTGCTGGTAATGCTGATGGCTGTGCGAGCGGTAATAAGATGAATAGCTACATTCACGAAGCCGTTAGTTTGACCCTGGCCTCCAAAGAATTCAAAAAGAAAAAGTCTTCCCTAGAACAGAAAAAAAGAGCTAAAATTTATTGCTTTGGTGGTATAAATACTACTCTATCTGCCAGGGCTAGTACTGTTACTGCTGCTACTGTGGCTGCTGCTGTGGCTGCTACAGCTACCGTTGATGCTGCTGCTGCTGCTGCTACTACTGCTACTACTCCAACTACTACTAATAATAAAAAGATCAAGAAAAAAACTTTGATTACTACCATTACGAATGGTGATATTGATGATGACGGTGGTAATGATGATAGCATCAATAATAATAATAGTAATAATGATAATACTACTACTACTCTTAATAATAATGATAATAATAATAATAAATATAATAATAATGAAAAATTTGAATCTGGAAGACGAAAGCCCAAATCTAGGGAGAAGAGCGGTACCTCTACTATGAGTAACAAGAAAAAAAATAATAATTTTGGTGATGAGAATGATGATGATAGTGATAATAAAAATAATAATAATAATAATAGTAGTAGTAGCGTTAGGGTAAGTGAGAGGCTGACGAAAGGCAAGCGTAGGCACGACGACGACTTTGTTTTTAAGAAAGAGAGGTTGTCGTCCTCTGTTCAGCTGCCGAGATGTCAAGTTGGGAGGAAGCCTAATAAGGATAATAATAATGATAATAATAATAATGATAATAATAATAATGATAATAATAATGATGATGATGATAATAATGATGATGATGATGATGATGATGATGATACTAATTTAGCTAAAGATAATGCTGATGAGGATGATGATGATGATGATGTGAACAACAACAACAATAGTAATAATAGTATTAGTAATGATAATAGTATTAATAATAATAATAATAATAATAAAACTGCTAAGAGGAAAGTTAAGGCCACGAGAAAATTCACTCAGAATAAGAGGAGACGCCATGTTGGAAAAGATGGCGACTACGACGATGATGATGATGATGTTGTCTTCAATAATAACAATAATAAAAATAAAGTGGATAATAATAATAAAGTTAGTGATAATAATAGCGATGCGGTTTTGATTAAAGTTGAGTGCAGAGATGAAAGTGATAACAACGAAGAAGAAAGTGGCGACCAATTAAAACCAAAGGACGATCTAGACGTTGTTTCTACCAGCCAATCAAAATCAAGCAAGTCGAGACGTGGTCTAGATACTACGCTCGGCAACCAATCAAAATTGAGTAGCTCAAAGTCAAGGACGGGTGCCGACCAATCAATGGCTGATTACAGTTTTACTGATGGAAGTAGTAGGAGAAATAGAGGTCTCTTTAGATTATTATCATTACGATGATGTTAATCATGATTATGATGTTAATAAGATGATAATGATGGTAATGATGTTAATAAGATGATGATGATGATGATACTAACATGATGGTAATGACGACGATGACGAAGATGACGACGATTTCCAATCAAACTAAAAATAGGCAAAATGGAAAAACCCAGAGTCCTCTTCACTGGCGTCAATAGCGAGGAAGGATTAAAAGTGAATTCTCATAATTAACTCATTCAAACAATATCTATAATAATAACAATAAAAATAATAATTATACTTCTAATTATAATTTGACGCTATTTTTAGATTGTCAAAAAGCTGGGAGGCTTCGAGGCTAAATCGACACTCGACTGCACTCACCTTGTGACCAATCAGGTCAGTCCTATTATCATAATTATTATTATTATTATTATTTTATTATTATTATTATTTAGCCCGTAAAAAGAACGATAAAATTCATGTGCGTATTGGCCAGAGGTCTGCCGATAGTAAAATACGACTGGCTGTACAAATGCAACGCCGACAACAGATTCTCAGGTGTTTTTTTTTCTCTTGCTCTGTATATGCGTATTTGTATTGTATGTCTCTGTATTTGTATTTGTATGTCGGTATTTGTATTGTTTATATGGCTATTTTTATTGTATGTCTGTGTATTTGTGTTGTTTTTATGGGTATTTTTATTGTATGTCTGTGTATTTAAAAAAGGCGTGAATGTATACAAAATTTCAAAATTTTCATTCATTCAACCATTCATCGTTCATCCATTCATTCATTCATCTATTTATCCATTCATTTATTCATTTATTCATTCATTCATTTGACTATTCAAATATTCACTCACTCATTCATTCACTCATTCATTCCTTCGTTCCTTCTCACACGCTTTAAGATCCATGGGACTTCCTGGTAAGCGACAAAGAGATGGAAAAACGCTACAAATTCAACCTGAAGAGGTCACTGCTGAGAGCTGGCCAGCAGAAGTTGTTCCAGGGGATGAGTTTCTACATCACTGACAATGTCACGCCAGTTAAAGCAGAATTGAAAGGTGATGAAGATGATGATGATGAAAAAGAAGAAGATGATGATGATGATGATGAAGAAGATAATGATGATGATAAATCGAGATGATGTGTTATGAGAGAGAGAGAGAGAGATAGATAGATAGATAGATAGATAGATAGAGAGAGAGAGAGAGAGAACGAGAGAGAGTTAATACAGATGATGATGATGATGTGGAAGAGTGAGGAGGAAGATGATGAATGTTGTGATTATAATTGCTGTAATGTTGGTTATTATTGAGTTGTAAATTGCTGTCTAATAAATTTCATCCAGATATAATAGAATCCGCTGACGGGAAGGTTTGTTGATTGACGGATCGAATGAAAGAGTGAATGAACGACTGACTGATTGAAAGAACGAACGAACGACTGAAAGAATGAACGAATGAACGAACGAACGACTGAAAAAATTAACGAACGAACAAACGAATGTGGCAATGGCATTGATGAATAACATCTGGTATATTCACAAACAGGTTTTAACCAAAGCGCCAGAGAAGATGACAAAACGAAAGCAACAGCATCTATCATCATCCTCTTCATCACCATCTGTTATAATTTCTTGCATTCAGGATAAAAAAATCTTTGACGATTTAGAATCTTTGGGTTTTCCCGTCGTCGGCTCGGAGTTTGTCATGACCGGTGTACTTAGGCAGTGCCTAGATTTGGAAGAGTAAGTCATGATGATAATGATAACGACGATGATGACGACGAAAATGATAATGAATATGACTACCATACTGACAATAAATTTAATAAAAAATTTTCTTTCACCAAAGGTTTCGAATTGACAGCAGCAGAAGAAAATAATAACAATAATAATAGTAATAATAATAATAAAAGTCTTTTCGAACAATTATATACGTATGTACATGTATCCAAATGAGATCTTATCTACGTTTAATAAGATATCTATGTATTTATTATAATATCTATGTTTATTATGTTGTTTACGTGTTTACTGTGATATCTATGTTTACATGATATCAATGGTTTTATCGTGATGTGTGTGTGTGTGTTTATTCGAATATAAATTCTTCTTATTTCAAAATTATTATTATTTCTGTTATTATTATTATTGTTATTATTATTATTTTTATTATTAAAGCTCTCAACACTTTCCGTTTCGCCATTCTGGTATCCTAACCATTTTGTTGCCACTGACAACGTAAAATAAAATGCTTGACAATGAATTCAGCACTTACAAAATGAGTTGATGAGAGATAATGTGTGTTCTTTCCGTGCTATTTGGTGTTGTATTTTGAGGAGTTATTCCATGACAAGTCGCTAGTTGTATGGCGCTTGAGTCGCATCGTGCGGCTGTGTCGCTTTGTGTGGCCGTGTCGGTTGAATATGTGTGTGTGTGTGAGTGTGCATTATTCAAAAATTTGTATAGCGCTAATTCCAAACAATGTTTCTCAAAAAAGCTGCCTAAAAAAGAAACATTGCTACATAAAGAGACAAGAAACTTAAAACGTCATAATCAAATGAAATCAAGAACAGTTGTATTGCTACGATAAACTAAATCTTTATAACAAAAACAGAAATGATTTAAGTAATTCCTTGAATGATCTTTCTGTCAGTTCGGTCTGTCTTAGATAACTTAGTAGACTATTTCATACTGTTGCTTAACATACTGAGAAACTTCTCTCTGCCATTCCCAAATTGGTTTCTGGCACACCTAACAAATTGCTATCATCAGACCTTAAGCGGGCTCTTTTAGAAGACAGTTGTTTCGGTACATACATTTCTTTCGAATAAACTGACGCCATTCCCTTCATACATTTGAACATGATTGTCGATATTTTGAACACAATTCTTTTTTTGACCGTCAAACAGTGAAGTTCTTAAAAATTTCAGTGGTATGCAGAATAAAGAAGGTTGGTCCGGGAACCGAGCTCTGTGGAACTTTAAATCCTATCGTTTTAACTGCAGAAGTTTTATTCTTGTAGATTCTTTACTGAGTTCTAACTGTTAAGTACGACCAAAACCATTGTTCGACTATACCAGTTATTCCGAATCGACTACTACAGTAGTCTAGCTTAGAATGAATAAACGCATGAACTTGACATTTCAATGTATCCTCATCAAGCGAATTTCTGATCTGTCTGAGCCTTCGTAGTTGATATGAACATTCCTTGTTCAATTTTTTGTCATGAACAATTGTTATGTATGTATTTATTATTAAGAGAAAACGTAATATAGCGTTCGTTATAGCAGTATTCACAAACGCTACCAAATTATAACCAATATTCGTATAAAAATAGCAAGAATGAAAAGAATTGGGCTATAATAAAAAAGGTATGTCTTTAATTGTTTTTTAAATTCAGCAATGTTCATTCCAGGCGTTCTGAGGGCTGACGGCAAGCAGTTCCATACGACAAGTCTAAAAATCACCAAATTTTTCTCTCTCCTTGATATCTGTCGTATCATTTAACGTTTTTTGGCTTCAACGTTAATCACATCAACGTTTTTTTAACCTCTTTGCCTACTATATCGGCCCATGATGTACTAATTTGTCGGCATTCGATTTTACTGCACACCTGATATTCCGGAGCTCCGATTCTATGATTTTACTTGCCTCAGACAATCCACCAATCTTAATCATCAATTCCCGTAAATTTCTGTCAACTTCCTTCGCGAGCAGATCCGTGTCTATTTCCATTGATGATTTGGTGACTGGAGGAGAAACATTGTTACACGTATCAAAAAAACCACTTGAAATAATTTTACTTCCGAAGGAAACTGACACATCATCAGGTATTAACGTAAAATTTGAAACACAACCGCTACGAGAACCGCTAAAGTTTTTCAACGAGTCTGATTTTGGTACAAAAGTTGCTATACAGCCTGTAAGAAATCAATGCAGTAACAACACAGCATAAACAAACAAACACAAATTGTAGAAAATTATCCTATTTGTACCTACAACTTCAACATAATTACTATGCTTATTTAAATCAGGGTTTCTAAGTTAGAGCAAATAACATAAAATAAAATTAACAAATAATAATTTTCGATAAAAAATTATATAAATTTGTTCGCCTAAATTTAATTAAACCACTCTATGAAAATTCTAGATAATCAAGAAAAACATGCAGCAGAAACAAAACCAGCCGATAACCCCAAATGTATGTTTGTTTGTATGTATGTATTTATGTATGTATGTATGTATGTATGTTTGTATGTATGTGTGTATGTATGTATGTGTGTGTGTTTGTGTGTGTGTTAAAATTATTTATTAATATTACAATTATTGCATCAAACCAAGCGTGACGGCTTCGTATTATTATTACCAAAATTAATAAAAAAGTCACCACAAACACACATACATACATACATACATACATACATACATACATACATACATACATACATACATACATACATACATACATACATACATACATACATACATAGACACACACACATACATACATACACAGAAACAAACAAACACAAACACACACACATAAACACACACACACACAGACACACAATTCTTTTATCACGACACCCATCTTTGTGTCATTCCATTCAACGTGTGTTCTATGCCAGCTTAAGCATTCACTGTTACCAAATTTAGAAAATTATTATACGTATTATTTATTATTATTCATTATTATTTCTATTATTATTATTATTTTATTATAATTAATAATTTAACAATAGTAGTAGTGTTAGTGAGTTGTATTTATGCCTCTAGCTACTTCTAGAACTAGTTCGTCCATTTTCTTTCGCAGCGATCATTGTGTGAAAGAAAGATATTTTTCATGTTAATCTGTAATTAACGTATTATTAATTAATTAATTGGATAATTAATAATTGGATAGTTGGTTAATTAATTAGCTGATTAACTTGTTTTGTTAGTGCAGTTTCGGTCGGTTAATGCTAATTTTTGGTCGGTTGAATCGGATCGAATATCGGTGAAAAAAGTGAAAAATAATAAAATTTCGGCTGTCTTTTATTCAATATAACCGAGTGAGTTTTTGCTTGGCTATGTCTTAAACCAACATCCCATCACGCCATAATATCATTATCATAACATCATCACCATAACGTCATCATCGTTACGTCATCCTCATAAGGTCATCACACCTAAATCCCACTTCAGAAATGGCCCAAAGGTTCGTGCCCTCGTATCTCCATTCATCCCCATCATCATCATCTGGCTGGTACGTGCCCCAATTTCATGGTGGAAACAACTTCGGGTGTAAATTTCTCGACCCTGTCCAGCTACCAGCTATTCATCTGCCGACTACAATTCTCCAGCCAGCTACGACTCAGCTGCTAGAAACTGCTAATCAGCAGTCAATTCAGCAACAAGCTGTGCCGAAGGTTGCATTAGAGCATGGACAAGCTGATAATGTTAATCAAGCACAGGTTCAGAAAGTTGGTAGTGGTGAAGGTGTGGCTAGTGTGGCCGCTACACACGTAGATAAAGTAGCCGCTCCGAAGGGTTATTATTATTGTTATTATTTTTAATTAATAATTATAATTAATATTTAACATTGTTGTTATTATTTATTACTGTTGTAATGTTATTGTTGTAATTGTTATGAGGTTCGCGCGTTAACACTGCCATTGTAATGCAGTCACGATTTATGAGTTCATCAACTTCATCATCGCTTGTAATGTTCGTCGAACCAGAGTTTAAATTCATTTCAATCATCATCGTCGTCGTCTTTATCATTAATATCGAAAGTTTCATCATCATCTTCATCATCCTCATCATCATCTTCATCATCATCATCTTCTTCTTCTTCATCATCATCATCTTCATCATCAACATAATTATTATCCATCATCATCTTCATCTTCATCATCAACATAATTATTATCATCATCATCATCACCATCATAATCTTCATCATCATTATTATCATCATCATCTTCATCTTCATCATCGTCATCATCAGCCCAGCCAATCAAGAAGTACAAGTACTCTGGCATGGTGTTGGCCACACTGGCCTCAGCCACCATTTCTCTCGGCGTCTCTAACACCGTCGTAACCGCCCTGACAGGTGAGGATGATGATGAAGGGGGCGGCGGTAAAGACGATGGTGATGGTGGTTGTTGTAATAGCGACGACGATGATGATGACAATGATGAATTAGGTTTCGTGACAGTGATAATGATGAAACCAGTAAAAATAATATGATTATAAAATGAAGAAATAAACAAAAACAAAAAGTTATGACCTCATCCGGAAGCGTCGGCTGCTTTGGAACCGGAAACAGTAAGTACGACACCCTCGGACCTCGGAATGACGTCATGAAAGCCCTTGATTGGTCGTGGGTGACCGTTGGCCTCTGGGCATCTATACTGGTTAGTTCATCGTTGCTGTGATGATGATGAAACTGATGGTGGTGGTGATAATGATGATGATGGAGTTGGTTGTGGGAATGATGATGATGGCGATGATGATGGTGATGATGATGACGTTTAAAACTTTCGCAGATTTTTGTTACCGGGAATTTGGCGGGCGGCCTCACTCAGACGTCATCGCAAAGAGTGAGTGAATGTGTGAATGAATGAATGAATGAATGAATGAACGTATGAAACAAGAAACAAACGAATGAATGAACGAACGAAAGAATATACAAATTTCTGAGATAATATAAAACAAATAGGTAGAATACATTTTCTAAAGACAATAACATCCGTTATTTGCATACATACATACATACATACATACATACATACATACATACATACATACATACATACATACATACATACATACATACATACATACAAACATACATACATACATATACATACATACATTGACGTACATATTTAGAAATTAGTCGAGCGTGAAAGATTTGGCAAGTAAACTTTGCTTGGCGCCTAAAATAAAGGAATGAAATTATTAATTAAATCAATGACTGAGTGAATGAATGACTGAATGAATGAATGAGTGGTGGAATGTTTGAATGAATGAATTAAAGAATTAACGAACAAACGAATGAATGAACGAATGATCGAAACAGAGGTAAATAAAAAAAACCGTTTCGAAAACTTTTTCGATAATTTTATTCACTAATTTCTTCTATCGTTCTTTAATTCATTAATTCATTCATCCATTCATTCATTTATTTACTTATTTATTCATTCATTCTTTTATTCAGAAATCATCCATAAATTGAAAACAAATTTATACACTATACATATATATAACTTCATTACTTAAATATAATTAAAACTGTTTAGCCTAAATAAGCAAATAATTAAATAACTATGAATAATTACAAATAAATAATTATGAATAATTATAAATGAATAATTATGAATAATTATAAATAATTATAAATAATTTAATAATAGGCCAAAGCCCTTACAACCTTAGGCTTGCTGTCACTGGTCTTATTGATACCATTAACATTTATCCTGGCTGTTCTGGATGCAGTTTTGGTAAGCTGTTTGTGTATTTGGTTCGAAAGTTTTAGCTATTTGTATAGTATTCTAAGGTGTTGTCAATGTATTTTAAGGTTTTTACACACACACACGCGCGCGCGCGCGCGCACACACACACACACAGACGCACACACACACACACACACACATACGCACACAAGCACGCACACATACACGCACGCACACAGTCAGCTGATTGCATGGCGACCAATGTGACAAAATTCGTAACGCCGATCATCATCGTCTTCATCTCTGCTCTGGAGTTTGGCGTCCTGGCATACATCGTAATCAGTCTCCGCAGACAGACGATGACCACCAAACAACCCTTATCATTATACTCATCGGCACAAAGTGAGCAGCAAATTCAACGCCAGCAGCCAGCTATTTCTACCAATAATGGCTACTATCCATCACAGCTGGACAGCTCTTCTAGCTCTGCACCGGTTTCAGCTAAGCGCCGAAAATCAGCCAAAACTCCAAATATTACCGTCATCAACCTTCCGGCAAATAGTAGCGGGCCTCAGGTACTTTCAAAGTAGTAGTAGTAGTAGTGGTGGTGGTGGTGGTGGTAGTAATAGTAGTAAGTAGTAGAAGTGGTACTAGTAGTGTTACTACTAATCATATTATCATTTTTACAACATATTCCTACCATTTATTTACCCATTCATTAACCTCACACAGGCTCCCAACTTCATTCCAATTCCATATCCGCAACAATCCCAGCCTCAAAATCGCTTCCTGCAGCCAATGTTCTACCCCGCGAACAAACCAAACATACAGCGTCGCTACCAGCCGAACTCAGCCTTCCAGCCCCGTAGAACCCAGTACCAACTTCCATCCAGGTGGTATCCAGGTGGTGGAGCCGGTGGAGCCGGAATGAACAGCAGGGTCGTTCCAGGTGCAGTCCCGTTTTTTAATTCCAGACGTCCTGCCAGCACCAACAACAACATGATGGGGGTGGATAGACCCCTGCAGTACGGGGCGGTCAGAGTGGGAGGGGTCGCTCCCTGGATCAGACCTGCTGATTGCGGAATGTACGGAAATGAATGGTGAAGATGTTGAGAAAGAAAGAGAGAGAGAAAGAAAGAAAAAGATAACGATCATTTTTATTTCGTACATTGGTTAGGCGTTAGTAACATTGGTTCGCAAAAAATCATAATAACAACAATAATTATTATTATTGTTGTTGTTATTATTACTATTATTTTTCGGGTATTTATGTAGCGCTCATTAAATTTTAACAACAACAATGACGATGATAACAATTTTAGCTCTAATCAATATTAACAATAATTATTTATATTTTTCGGGTTTATCATTTTTAAAAATAATATTAATAATTATTATTATTATTTTTATTCTGATTAGTTAAAAATTGTTGAATAATAAAATGAAATAATTTTAAAAAAGACACATAACAGCCTCTCTACCTTTCTTTCACTAGTCAACTATATGCAGATGATTCTTACATTTATACTTCTTTTCCTCCATCTAATCTCAATAGTGTTCTTCATAATCTATCTCTATGTCTTTCTTCAATTATCGCTTGGTCTGACTCCATGTATCTTAAACTTAATCCTTCTAAATTTGAATTAAGATGTTTTATAAAATCTAAACGCTCTATTTCAATTCCTCCTATTATCTTACCTGATTCTAAAACTCTTGATGTTTCTCACATGTTTCATAGTCTAGTTTTTATCTTTGATTCTAGCATGTCTCTTTCTTCTCAGATTAATAGTGCTGCTAAAAGTTCTTACTTTCATCTACGTAGAATAAACAAAAAATTTCTTTTCTGGACTATCCTACTCTTCTCCTTCTTGTTACTTCGTTAGTCTTATCTAGGATTGGTTATTGTAACTCGCTCTACTATGGTCTTCCTGATTCTACACTCTATCCTTTAAGTAAAGCTTTTAACTTTGCTGCTCGTCTAGTTGCTCGTGCCCCTTTCTTTTCTCATATATCTCCATATCTTGTTCTCTTAAACACTCCTTCGCTAAATCTGCTTTTTCTTTTTCTGGTCCTTTTCTCTGGAACTCTCTACCTTCTTCTCTGACTACTTCTCCATCACTTACGAAGTTCAGAGCGGATCTCAAGACCCATCTGTTTGCAAAATTCATTGGGGAGCGCTGTTGAACATCGCGGAAATAGCGCTTTACAAACTAATTGATTGATTGATTGATTGATAACGGCCTTGAGAAGTGTTTATAATAAAATTATGTACTAATAAGGATAATTATTATAACAATTACAACAATTATTGTTATTATTATCGGATCACTACGTATATAAGACAACCCATAGAACGATACATACGTTAAATACAAGTCTAAAAAAGTGAATCTTGCTAATTTATTCATTCGTTCGTTCCTTTGTTCAATCATTCATTCATTCATTCATTCATTCGTCCATTCATTCATTCATTCATTCATTTGTTCTGTTGTTCATTTATTACTTCATTTAAACTTTCCTTATTCCAATGAAAAGAGTGATGTAAGAGTAGCAGTAATAATCTATATGTTTGTTTATTCATTCATTTGTTTGTCCGTTCATTCATTCATTCATTCATTCATTCATTCATTCATTCATTCATTCATTCATTCATTCATTCATTCATTCATTCATTCATTCATTCATTCATTCATTCATTTTACATTCATTCTTTCATTCCTTAGTTCATCGCAATCGCAAGTGAAAATTCATAACCATTTATCACCCTCAACATTAACATAAAATGATGAAAATGAAGAATATGATGACGAGAATGATGATGATGATTAAGGTACTGCTGATGATGATGATGGTGATGGTTGCCACGGTGATGATGACGATGATGGCAATGATGATGGCAATGATGACTCGCCTAACTCACTCTGTACAATCATTCCCTCACCTCCACTGCTGCTACTACTACTACCAGGAATTGCGTTGTTGTAATTATCATAATTATTATTAGTAGTAGTAGTAGCAGCAGCAGCAGTAGTAGTAGCAGCAGCAGTAGTAGTAGCAGCAGCAGTAGTAGTAGCAGCAGCAGTAGTAGTAGCAGTAGCAGCAGCAGCAGCGTCGTCACCGTTGACATTACTGGCGATTGGATATCTACCATTGGGCAGGAAGTTTTAATGAGTGACGGAATGAAAAAATGAATGGTTGAATTGATGAATGGAAGAGTAAATAAATGAAAAAGTGAGTGAATGAACGAACGAACGAACGAATGAATGAATTAATGAATGAATTAATGAACAAACGAATGAATGAATGAATGAATGAATGAATGTATGAATGAACGAACGAACGAAAGAACCGATAAATGAACAACTGTAATGTAGTATTAGTAGTAGCAATAATAATTACAACAACAACAGCAACAACAACAGCAACAACAACAGCAACAACAACAAAACAACAACAATAAACAACAACAATTGGTATAGTAATAGAAATAACCTTCTTATGAGGATGTGCGTGTGTCCGATGTGTAGGTTCTCATCGCGACTGATGGATTTTTTCTTCTTGACCAGAGGTGAGGTGAGGATGAAGAGGAAGATGACGACGACGACGACGATGATGGCGACTGGTAGGTAGAGTTTGATTGACATGTCGTCTTGGTTCAAGCAATCTAAAGACTGGTGGTGATGGTTGTGATGATTGTTATGATGATGATGATGACGAACAGCCAACCAACCAACCAATCAACCAACCAACCAACCAACCAACCAACCAATCAACCAGCCAACTAACCAACCAGCCATCCAACCAACTAACCAGCCAACCAACCAACCAACCAACCAACCGACAAACGAACCAACCAACCAACCAACCATCCGACCAACCAGCCAACTAACTAACCAACCAACCAACCAACCAGCCAACCGACCTACCAGCCAGCCAACCAACTAACCATAAGAATGTTAAAAACTTCCAATACAAACACCATTGGCAGATCGATAAACATGGTTATCAATTTCAATATCTTCAACCCTTTCGGCTGAAATGAATGAAATAATAATAACTATTATTATTATAGTATAATAATAATAACAAATAATAATAATCAATATCATAACATTATCAGTGTCAAACTTATTTTTACTACAATTTATTATTATTACTACAACTATTATTGCTGCTGCTACTACTACTACTACTACTACTACTACTACACTACTACTACTACACTACTACTACAGCTACTACACTACTACTACTAATACTACACTACTACTACTACTAATACTACAACTACTGTACTACTACTACTACTGCTGCTGCTACTCTTACTACTACTACTGCTGCTGGTGCTGCTACTACTACAGTCACATGTTACGAACGTCTTTTGGCTTGAAATTGCTGTTATAAAAGATACTGCCAAAGTAAGTTTCATCATTGGTGGGCGACGATGATGAAAGGTTAGTACTACAATTCATCACCATTCCTGTGACCAATGGCTGATGACGATGACATGATTTATAATTATGACACACACTCACACATATACACACACACACATCTAACACACACATATATACACAACACATACATCTGTTTAAACATCTGTTTATACATCCGTATGACGGTGATGTCATTTATAATTATGATGATGAGGAGGAAGACAACGATGATGAACAACACGGCAATTTTAATAATAATAAAGTCTTTTTCCTTGTCATTATCTTCTTCTTACATACATACATACAAACATGCATACATACATACAAACATACATACATACAAACATACATACATACATACATAGAAACATACATACATACATACATACATACATACACACAGACACATACATACATACCCACCAAAATCCCGCCCCAAATGGCAGACGACAACCACAACCACACTACGTCAGTCCCATGCCGGAAAAGGTTAAACGACGAACTATTTCCTGTCGCTTGGCTAGCCTCCATGCACTTCCATCCTACTTTACCCTGTATCCTTACATCGTTTATGTAAACGTAAGTCGTGATGACGTCATTTGCGCCGCAGCCAATCAGAAGAAGGGAGAGTAGGGTTACAATTGTACTGACCAATTGAGATCGATTTAGTAGGATGAGACTGTTTTCGGCTGATTGTGATTGGTTAGAGTTAGGGTTCTAATCGGTTGTTTGGTCAATGAACGAATATATGAATGAATGGATGAATGAGTGAATGAATAAATGAATTGATGACTAATCTATCAGACATTAACATATCAACATTTTCATTCAATCGTCTATTCAACTTTTCATCCATCAATCAATCAGTCCATTCATTATTTAACCATTCATTCACAAGCTCAACCAATCAATCAATCAACCAATCAATCAATCAATCAACCAACCAACTAATCAATCAACCAATCAACCTCTGAATTTGGCCAGAGGCAGAGTCCCCAATCTTAAAATATCTGCCCTGGACATTATGTCAACGTCAAAACCGTTCTCTTTCGTGGCCTTAAAGTTGTGGTAATAGTAGTTGTTTATTTGCTGCTGCTCTGGAGTTACTGTTTCCGGTAAGGATTGACTGAATGAAAAGAATGAATTCTATTTTATTCGTTCGTTTGGTTTCTGTTCGTTTATTACTTCATTCCTTCATTGCATAGTTCATTCACTCATTCATTTTCAAAATGTTTCCTTGTTTATTTATATTAACTTAATTAAAATTTAAATGAAAAAATTTGTGTAACAAATGAAACTCACAAACACATACAAACCAGCACACACAAAAAAATACATACAAACACACAAACACAAACAAACACATACAAACATCCACAAACATACAAACACACTAACGCTGAATTGACTACATATCGCTTCTCCATATTTCTTTAAAAGCCAAAACGAAAATGAAATAATAAATCACTTGAAACTTTTTTCATCGATTTAAATGTAAAATTTGCACATTAAGATGGGAAAATATAATTGTATTTATACAAAGAAAGAGAGAGAGATAAAGATAGAGAGAGAGAGAGAGAGAGA